ACCAGAGCGCGGATCGCAATAATCCGTGATGTATTTTTATTGGTTGAAATCCTCTCTTTTTCTCTCTCTCTCTCTCTTGCACTCTGCAGCAGCTGCAGGGGGTGGAGAGGGAGAAGGACTGCAGGAGGCAACTGTAAATCCTCGCGTAATCTCCTCCGGATTTATGACCCTTCAGAGTTGGAAATTCAGCACTTTCCCCTGTGCGCCTCTGTGTGTGGCTGCTGCTGCTCTCGGATAAAAGACAAAAAAAAAAAAAATGAAAAAAAAAGAGGCTGATCGCTCGCCTAGCAGCGGTAGTTCTCCAAGTTGTGTCTACTCTGGGCGCCGTTTGACGAATTTTCTCCCCCCCCCCCCCCTCAACGCTCGCTCCCGACTTTACACTGGCTTTCCATATAGACACCCGACGAGCAGTGACCTTTTTGCGTCGATTCTGCTTAAAACGCTTTCGAAGTTTCCGCTGCGGTCTCGGGCCAAAGTTATCGTCACCCTGTACCCCCAGCGCTCCACTATTTTGCGGGTAAAACGCTCACCGTGTCTATGTATATATGTATGTCAAATTGGCTTTTTTTTTTTTTTTTTTTTTCATTTTATAATTTCACCGACGTATTTATTGTACCGTACACACACACTGTGTGCGCTTTCTTTCATAAATTACGATCGGGCCCTCGCTGCGTTATCTCTTTCGCGAAATTATGGAGTACGACGTAATTATCAGAATGACATAAACAAAGACGACGACTCGCGCAAATTACGGGAACAATTTGTTATTATCGCTCTAGGCAATAACGTTTAAAAACAAATTATCGTAATGCCGATATTATACGCAACTCGTCACTGCAGCTGTCGTCGTCAATTTCGTCGTCATGGTATATATACGTAATAATGGCGGAGAACCCTTGCACGGCATACAATAAGCACCTGAGCTTACAAGCGCACACAAAATTTGCAAATCGTTAAGCAGCAGCAGTAGAACGCGTATATTATTATATACACAAAGCGTATAATTGTCTCGACCTGCCGAACAATTCAGCTGCGGAGAAAAAGGGGAGCTTATTACTCGTGCTTGTACTACGTGCGGCTTTTGCATTTCCGGTGCAAGGGTATACGCGATCTTCAACAGGATCTATACTTATGAAAAGGATAATGACACGCGTTTGACTTGCCCGCCACGCCCACTTACCGTAGGAGAATGAGAGGCTGTCGCGAGTGCGACCAATGAGAGCTCACGCTTGTGAAAATTGTTCGACGCTCGAGGGGACTTTGGATTTGATGGGACGCATTCCGGGCTCCCTTAAATACTTTAATGCAAGAATTTATCGACACAAAAGTAACGACAAAGTAATAATTTTTTTTTTTTTTTTAAATTACGCCCCCCCGCAAAGAGATACTCTGGCGAAACTTTAGGCCGAGCATCATCATCTTTCTGGGGTAGGTAGAGAGTTTGAGTTTTTTTTTTTTTTTCCTTTCTTTTCCCTCGAGAGTCGGCACATAGCGAACAGAAGCATCAGACAAGAGGAGCAGGCAGGCTTCCCCCCGCCTTTTCTCTTCTTCGCGCGATCCCCGATGATATAGCGTCCAAGCATATTTATATACAAAGGGGAGGGGGCGCGAGAGACAAGTTTATACATACCTCTATAGAACGCAGCGTCTCGCGACGTGCCGCTAAAGGAGATATAGCGCCCAGATAGCACAGCACGGGAGCGGAGTAAACTGCTTTTGGGATGAAAACGGTGACCTTTTGCGCGCGAAACACCCACGGTATAATGTATACATGCTGCGCCCGCGTCTATGTGTGTGTGTGTGAGTGTAGCCGTGACAGTCGGAAGGGAGGTTCATCCCGGCGAACTGTACAGGGGCTCTCTCTCTCTCTCCTCTCGAGTCCCCGCAGACGTCCGACGTGGCTGATGTACGACTCCCTCGCGCACAGCGAAGCGCATAACTTTTATCTTACCTCTCGCGAGATCTTCGCGAGCCAGGGGCCTAGATGTTTCGGAAGGGGGAGAAAGAAAAGGAGAGAGGCCTCCGAACGTTCGGAACGAGCCAGAGGGTCGTAGAATGCTGGCGCTGTACCACCCCCCCCCCCTCTGTACCCATCTCGAAGAGGCGAGCTTGCGAGTGGTTAACGCAGACGTTTCACGCCCGGAGAGGCATTTTTTTATCTCCTGCTCCACTTGGAGAAATTTTGCAGTGTTGTAAGGGAGAGGAGCTTTTGCTGAATACTCTTTTCTTGCTGTTGCTCAAGCTTTGACACAAGATAATAATAATCCATTGTGCGTCAATCACCCAAGGAAATAACAACAGCACTGTCTCGAAAAATAAAACATTAGACGGAATAATTATGAAATTTGAGAGTCAATATTCATAACTGAATGAAAAATAAAAGAGTAAGCGCCAGCTGAATTTCATGATCATTTTTTACTACCATTTATCATTCGAGTTCTTCGGACGATGTTATGAAATATTTTAAATAGAAAAAAAAGCAAATTTAAACAAAAATGTATTTAAGTATTACTTATACGTAAGAAAAGTGTTCAAAAAAAGAATATTTGTGATTCTGTCGTAAAAGGACATGGGCGTCAAAGCTGTACACGCAAAGTTTGAGAAAAATCCCATTTTCGAGATAGCGCTTTTTTCCTAACAAATTCAAGATAGTACTCAAGGATTATGTTTCAAAGAAGGATCCAAACTTTGTATATCCTGGGAACCGATTAATCTTTTTAAAAGTCGGATTTTCCATAAAATCCAATCCCCATAATCTTACGTTCGAAATCTCGTGGCTCCCAAAAACAATACAAGTACCAAAGACAGGTGCGCAATGAATTTCGACTTTAAAAGTTAAATCTTGCTTTTCCAATTTTTTTTTTTTTTTTTTTTCGCAAAGCTTCGTCCCCTCCCCCATACTTTATGGCGACATCAAAAAGTATTTTGAAACGAAGCACAGCCAGACTCGCATAAAAATAAAAATGAAAAAAAAAAAAGAAAGAAAAATGGAGCACGCGTCTTCCCAATGCCCGTTGTCAAGATTTATGCTCGCCGCAAGCACCCGTACAGTATAATGTACACTCGGGGCGGGTGGAAAAAATACACGCGCCGATGGGAGAGCAGCTCCTTCGGATGCTCATCAAAGCCCCATACGCATCAGCAAAACGCCCGGCACACCCCTCTCTTCCACCCTTAAATTTTCCAAAGTCTATACTCGTCGCGCATTAGTCACGAGCACACAGCACCCATATGAGAATTTCTATTTACTGGAGGACACCGAGAAAATCCCGGAGAATCGAGGGGCCAAAGGGGAGAGAGGCAGCTATACGGGGTGTTTTCGAAATGGCGGGCGGCCGAGTGAAAGAGAGTCCGTAAGGTAATCCCTTTATTTCGGTCGGCTCGGCTCCACACGCCGTCCTCCCCCGCTCCGAAGAAGGGAGTAAACGATTTTTGGTGTGCGGAGCGTTTACACGGATCAGCGAGCCGTAGCTGCTGGCTGTACCGTTGTGCAGCAAAGGGGGAGAGGAACGGGCGTGCAGATGCTTAACTCGTCTATTTCACGCTTCGAGAGGCGCGACGCGACGCTCGCTCTACTTTTCCCGAGCTGCTCTGGCGTTTTCGAAAACTACGCCGTGAGAAATGGAGTCGGGGCTGAGATTGAAAATGCGTTTCAGCGCTTACGTTATACCTGTTCCACGTTGCAACCATTTTTTTTGTTCCAATTTCGTAGGTAGGTACATGTTGAACGAAAAAAAAAAAAAGAAAAAGGAAAATTTTGCCGCCATGCAACAACGTTTCAATTAATACGCACCGTTCATTAGCATAACATTTTGAGAAAAAAAAAGGCCATAGCTCGTGCGCCGGCCGCTCCAACATGATTCGCTACACGGTATTAATACATCAGAATAATGGCCGAAGTAAGTGGTGTACGCGAGCAACAGCAGCAGCAGCTACACGCGAAACAAACCGCGCACACGTGTTGATCGATCCACGGGGGTATATTTGTATTATGTACGTATATACGCAAAGTCCCGAGTCCAGAGACCGCGTACATTATAATATACGCCTTACCCGATATATATATATATACAACTCGTACACGCGAGAAAGTCGAGGACATCGGCCATGCGAAAGGAGAACAGCCGTGTAGTATGTATATATAATCGTTGTATCCACGCCGCCCGACACGTGAGCGATTTTCCATCGGCCGAGAGTTGCCATCATATTAGCCGTGTACATGTAACATTTGCGCCAACCCTGAGAGGGAGGAGGAAAAAGGGATCGGAGGTCAGAGAAGGGGGTGGCAACCACAGCAGTGGCCATTCCCCCAATTTCGCTCCCCCCCCCCTCCCCCAGAGATACAGCCGATATTTATCGATCACTCCCCCGCGCTTATTCTTCGAAAGGCACGTACGTAGTATGTAAAGAGTCGGAAAAAGAAGAACGAGGCGACAGACGGCGCTAGAGGGAGATGGACTGCCGCAGCTGTTTTGCTCTCTTGTTTTTCCAAGCAACGCGATGGAGGAATAGGGTGGAACAGTTAGGCGACATCCCCTATATTTTTTTTTTTTTTTTTTTTTACAGAGAAAAATCTTCCTTTTGCGCCATGGTTCGTTTATATATATACGTGTGATTCGTCAGTCGGGCATCACAACGATGGCGCTGGATTTTCCCATTTTTTTTTTTTTTTTTATCCGAAACATATTGCCCGAACGGGCGAGGCTGAGATACGACGCGGGAGCGAGAGAGAGAGAGAGTCTTTTATTCGGAAAAGGGCTATAAATTTTCATTCGCCTCGGGCTCTGGAGATTAAAGTTACATTAAGCGCTTCGGAAGAGATAAAGTTTTGCGCTCGCGTTCGTTCGGGCAGCTTTTGCCAGATGACGGGATTTTCTGGGGTGCCGGGCGAAGGAAATAGGTTCTGCTGGGTTGGTCGGTCGGATGTTTTTTTTTTTTTTCTTTTTTTTGTCTTATTTAGAAAAGGGGGCGGTGGATTCCACGAAAAAAGCACAACTCACCTTGCAACCAAGTCCAATGCGGTTTAGCCATATCTTCCTTACCTGAAACAAAAAAACAGATCGTCGTCTAAGAGATTGCTGCGTTGGAAACATTTTACATTTTTATACTAATTTTGTCGACATAATGAATTAAAGTTCAAATTATTGTTGTACAACCATACGTAAGTGGGTATGTTTTGACGAGCTCCTGAGTATATTGTCCAAGAGCTCATCGTGCACCTTTGCCACCTGAATGGCCAAGATAATCAGAGAAAAAGAGAGTTCACAGTTACAGGATACGTTGAATATACTTATACTTTCATCCCTACCTGAACTTGTATACATACTACACTAGCTTGTATGATCGATGCTTGGGTCCCAGGATATATTAATACTGCCACGCAAAACTTCAGCGAGTGACGTTTTACTACCCATGAGAGTGTGTATACGTATATTTATACGTGTTTCAGGCTTTTCTACTCGGGCTCTCGGCGGCCCAAGTACAAGCTTCAATCTGATTCCTATCTAATTTAATCGTATGTTTCACTGCAACGTACGCATACAAAGTGAAAATAGTGAGATTTTACGTTACTTATCGACACATTGTTGTTCAACCTCTCCATAGTATCCTCCTATACGTATACTCGTATATATTATGTATACCCTTCATCGCAAACAAGTGATTTCTCAATGGCTCGAGCTGTATACGCAATTGTGTCAAGGAAAAACGCGTCGCAAACTCACGCAAAACGACTGACTGTAAGAAACTCCGAGAAAAGCTCACTGCAAGCTCAACGGGGCTTTCGGTCACGCGCCAAAAATCAACCTACGCAGGGAAACGAGCAGGACAAGAAGCTTTATCGCAGAGCGCTATGCGGAGCAACATCAGCGCATATACGTATACTCCGATAGTGTCACATTGTACACACGCAAGTCCACTGCAACGCCTCCAGAGCAAGGGAGAGAGAGGAGAACACGAGCCAGGAGCAAATGATCCAGAACACCGTTGGGAATTGGTTCGGCAATGTAGCGAGCTTGCGCACTCAGGACCAAGAGAGAGAGGGCTATAACTAACCCCGCTGATCTACAGCCTGTTTAGTAGTTATATATCAGCGCCGCCGTGCAGGTCAAATAGGTACGCGTGCATCCCTATATGTGTATACCTCGTAGTCCACCCTCCCACTCCCTTCGTCCTTTCCTATCTCTGCGACCATGCCCCTTGCCCGACTATCCTTTGAGCCCACTCTGATCCTCCCGTAAGCTTTACTGCGACGCGCGCGTGCGTAAGCGACTTTTAACGCGTATAAACATCAGTAGCCATGCCTCCACAATGTGGCAGTGTATTTTAATAAACTTTGCAAAAACCGCAAGCTCTACTTTTTAAGGAACAACCCAAGTTTATTTGCATCCTTTTACTCGCCTCAATTTTTCGAGCGTGCACGTCCTCCTCCTGAGGCTCCTTTCCTCGTGCGTTTCGAGATAGCATCGAAAGTATACGTGAGTAAAAGCACCGGAATATGGATACAAATTCCTCTAAATTTTTTGGCACATCGTTATCTCGGACTCTGACCTCAGGGTATCAGAGGCTTTGATGTGAGATATTACATTACTTAAAGAGTTTTACAAAAAAAAATTAATTTATAAGATAAATGAAGGTCTGGACAACATTTTTACATTATTGTTATTTGCACGAATTACTAATGCAAATATGTACCTACAATAATCCATTCGCATATATTACTTTGCGACGAAAGTTATTTTTGGGTGGATCTTTCTAACGAATGTACCAAGAAAATCGATGACCAATAATTTGTAACCATATTACATTAGTTATCAAATATGCTTGCCCCAGAGAAAAGAGCATCGTCACAAAACAACCTGCACGGGAAGAGAGTTGGGGAATAAAAGAAGGGGACGATGCCTATAGCTATGAGATCACTGGTCGCATCAACGAGCTGAAAAGGGCGGCAGAGTTTTGATGCCCACATGTATATATATATATTTGTAGCGTAGCATATCCAGAAGAGAGTGTAGGTTGCAACGAAGGGGAAATACAAAGGGGAGGAGGGGCTGCGGCGTCAGGATGCACCACAGCAGCAGTATATAGCGTATACCACACGTCGCGAGGGAGACAGAGAGAAGGTTTTGGTGGGTGGTGCTGGCGAGGATGAGGAATAACAAGGGAGGGGGAGGGTACAAAATGGGGAAGCCGTGATAACGATAACGTACGATCGGCATTAGCTGGCGGCTCGCTGCGGCTGATGGATGCGCTAATTATCAGCAAGCAGGAGTTACAGTATTTCGGGCCCCCCCCCTCCCCCTGACGCGCTACGCTGGACGAAAGTGCAGAGATCGCGTCTGGCTTGGTACACGTCGCGGTATATACATACACACGGCAGACGAGCACTCGTGCATTATGCAGCCACGGGAAACGCGAAATGGAGCCTCCCTGAGTTTATTAATTATACAAAACACACACGTGAGTGCAAAGATTCCCTTTTGCCGGATTCCGTCGAGCCAACGATGAAAGAGTTCATTATATGGCGTCAGCGCTCGTGAACGCGAGTAAAAAGGAGCTCGTTGTTGTCGCTTTTCGACACAAGTGACGGTTTTGTACGCTCTGAAAAAAAAAAAAAAAAAAAAAAAGAGATAGAGGGAGAGCGCTTCCGTGGAGGCTAACGAGCAAGACGCTTTATGTTGATGAATTCGCGGAAAGCGCTAATTGCCGGCTGATAATTCAGAGTCAGCTTTTTTTTTTCGCGGAAAATGGAAGTTTTGTGGCTTTTTGAGGGATTTCCGGGGCGAGTGGTACAACCAACCGTGGAGAGGAAGTGCGTTTTTGTCCGTCGCAAATTGTCGTGGGAGTCACGGAAAAAGGGGCAAAACTACGTAATTACCGTCGCGAGATTTATTTAACGAAAAACCAAAGGACGAATCCAGCTTTTTTTTTCCTCCCAAATTCCGCAGCCACGTAGCTAGTCACGCGGAGCTAAGATTGATGGCTGTATTAATCCATCGTAATCGGAAAACCGATTAACCAACCGTAAGTCGGTGGCTTTTTTTTTCACCTCAAAAATTTAATCTCCTTTTTTCGCCCCAGCACGTGATGCACCACTCCCCGGTCGAATTAACCAAAACAACGTGCAGCGTATACCTTGGCCCTTCCGACATCGGCTGGGCGCGTTGCGATGTTTAATTCCGTATGCACCAGTAGCTCAGAGCCCAGCAGCATCGACCCTCTATATACGTATAGCAACGCGTCAGACGATTACCACCCAGCAGGAGCAGCAGCAGACTTCGTCGAGAGGCCAAGTAGTACAGTGGTGGTGGTAGTAATTTTACAGCAGCAGCGGAGGATAGAGAAGAAGCTTGGGAGGGGGTGAGGGTGGAGTCGCAACCGCAGCTCGCGGTCTAAGCTCTCCTAGACACGGTGGCGTTGTTCGTTCTTGCTGCCGTTGTTGTCGTCGCTATACCGGCGCACCTATGTATATATACGCGGTACACGCACCGGCACTACTGTTATACCCTGGGTATACATACACACATTGGCGATCGCAGCAAAAGCCCACCGCCCCCCTGGGTCCGTGGTATAATGAACACGGCTGCTTGTTTATTTAATGGGAAATTCGCCAGCGCCATAAAGCTCGGCGAGAAGAAGGGGCTGCAGCAACACCTATTAAATTTATGCCTTTGGTTTACTCGCTCTGACGGATCGCAGCGGCCTCCGCAGCAACAACAACCACCCCTCCCCCCCTTGCCCCTTGTCTGGCTTATTCGCCATTCCTCTTTCGAGTGCCAGTAATTTCGTGACGTTCATGGTCCCCCTTCCTCCCGTGTTTGTTGTGTGACACGCGGCGAAATCGAATTCCTTCGGAAAAGCTCTGCCCCTCTCTCGGGTGGACGGGCGAAAGAATGAAATTAATGATGGTGCGTTTCGTTCGGGAAAACAATGAGAAGGTATACTATTTAAAAAACTTTGCTTGAAAATATTAATTTTTTGTTAATCAGTTTACGAGTTAAATCGCTAGTATATGTATAAAGACAATTAATGGTACGTTATAAAAGTGCAATGTATGTATACATGTACCTCTATGAAAATTGTAAGTGGCAAAATTCCCATGCACGACCCCATCAAGATCGATCGGTTTGCGTATAATATCGCGATAAATCTGCCACGAATGAAAAAAAAAAAAAAAAAAGGCGCGATAGAGGGAAGAAAGAGGCGTGGGGGAGAGGGGGTGCTTCAATCTCTTTAAAATATCACCCCCCCGATTACCCGCGACTTCGTGTCCCTATAAAAGCCATTTAAGGCGCTTAATAAATGTACGAGCTCCGCTCTCCCCTCCGATATTTTCTCTCTTCATTTATCTTCCTCTCGACTCTCGGGCGCATATAGTAGCCAACGCATGCAGGTCCAAACCAAACGGGGGACGGAGAGGATACAGCGGATGGGAAAGCTCGTCCGGTTCGATGGATGTAGCGGCGTCAGCGGCCATAGTGACGGACACCGCCGCGTTAGCGCGTAAAGCCTACCGTGACATTCCGCCCGAAGGCACACACATGTCTGTCTGTCGTGTTGGTGTATTTATGCATACGAAACGCTGAGCTGGGGCCAGAGTACTCGACAGTTGTCGGCGACACGATCAATCGGGGGCGAAACGGTGCGCGACACTCCGACTGTACGGTATCGGCATGGGCAACATACATGTATATACGTGACGGGCAGTGTAGCTGCCTGTACCAACACTGTATACTCCAATCGGCCGCGTACAGGGAAAAACGGGCTCAACCGGAATGACTTTAAGGCAGTTGTTGCTCCAAAACGATTCAACGCCGAGCCGGAGCTGTGCAGGCGGATAGTCCAGAATCGATTGAGCTAGTTTACTCTATTTTTCCTCCTTCTCTTCCAAAGCCCAACAACGCGCGTGGAAAGTCATTCGCTTACCATCCAGTCGACCGACTCGGCCAAACATTTAGAAAACAATAATAACATACTCCCACGCAAGATGAACGCCATGAAAAAACAAAAAAAAATCCATCACCCCGAGCACTGTATACACCGT